ACGCCGATCGTCACAACACAAGTCTATACACTCAAAAGTCAAATCGCCGACAACTCGTCACGTACTTCATTCACGTCATCCAACGTCGCTACCGACACACTACTAATTCACAGACTCACACCACTAATCCGAGTCACACATGCACACACATACACACACACATATGCACACTAACGGACTCGATTGCTACGTCTGCACCGGCTTGTACACCTACGTTCAGTAACACTAATCACCCACTCATCTAGTTCAGAATGCAGTCGAATCAGTCAGAGATTTGTTCCGACGAGTTTTGCATCGGTCTACATCGACACTGACTGGTCGTCAGGCAGTTGCATGGTAGACGTTTGAGTCCCTTGTTGGCAATATTCTGGTGATGAATTGCACTGGTGTGTCTCGTTCCCTATGTCCACATAGTGCGATCAGTTCGGTGATGATTGAGGAGCGTGTTTGCACGGAGAATTGGTTGGTATTCGCCAACTGCGTTGTCAAACAACATAGTGGAATTTCGAGTCTGACAGTTGATCAATTCAACGCGTCAAATGTGTTGTGGGTGAGAATGAGGTCATCAGGGAGTGAGTGCGAGAGTTAGGACGTGTGGAATGTGTGAAGAGAGTGTTTGACACAGTGGTGTATAGTGTAAATTCGAATGGAGTGTGGTGGAATTGACGTGTGGTAGTGGACAGTGGACGTGTAGTCGTTGGATGGAGAGATGATTGTGGAGTGGTATATTGCCACAGGGATTGAGAGTAATGTGGGTGTGTGTTGGTGGAGTAGTTGTACAGTGTGAGTGTATTGATGGATGTGTGACGAAGCGAGTGTTGATGTTGTTGATGTGTTTCGTCAAAAGTGAGAAGCGCCTCCGGGTGGGCTCGAACCACCAACCTTTCGGTTAACAGCCGAACGCGCTAACCGGTTGCGCCACGGAGGCGACATTCGTCGACCCCACACAGACCATACCACAACACAATATCAACTCACATCGCACACAACAACCAGCAACAAAACAAACACAATCACTAGCATGACCACCATCACACAAACACTGACACCAACAACAACAACACCAACACCAGCACAAATACAACACCAGCACAACCAACACCACCGACACCGACACCGACACCGACACCGACACCGACACCGACACCGCCACCGCAACCATCACCACAACAACGACATCATCATTCACAACAACCGCAACACACACTCACACATCACCCAATACACATACACGAGTTATCACTCAATCGATCACTCCCTCACTCTACCTCACACACTCGAAAGCACACCAAAACACTCACATTCACAACTGTCACAACAATCACCGACGTCACCGACGCACACATTTTCACACATCTCGACACAATCAACATTGCAACGCCGATCGTCACAACACAAGTCTATACACTCAAAAGTCAAATCGCCGACAACTCGTCACGTACTTCATTTACGTCTTCCAACATCGCGCTATTGTGAACGTTTACTTTTCTTCTTCTCTGACGTATTTTCTCATAATTTATCTTTTTCTGTGTTTTAGTTTTTATCAATTGTGTATCTTTCCGGTTTCGTGTGGTCGCTCCTGGTCTCCCTCTATCTCCTTTTTGCGTAGCTGACTTTCTTACTGACTGTGTGTTGTCATATGACGTCTCTCATTTGTGTTCATTCCTAACAAAATCAATTTTAATTTAGTACCATCAATTTTACGAGTTCCATACATGCATACACGAGCGATATCTGCTGTGTAGATAGGTTTTCTACACTTTACTTAAGCATACTTGATTCTGGTGTTTGTTGCTTTTCGCTGAGCTTCTACAAATACACTGAAGGAGATTGTTGCCAAAGCACATGGTATGAAATTCTGTTCGATTTCCCATTATATTGTGTGTCGTTTATGCACCCTTTGTATGAATATAGAACAGCGTTGTAATTTCATAAGTAGTATTCCTTACTATAAGATTGTTCTTATCAACTCCTTAGGTGAAGCAGCAGGTACTACGAACTGTATCAACAGAAACATAAGACGTAAATATGCATTGTCTTTTATGAATAAACTCTCAATTCAACGACGTTGGTTATGTTGCTTGTAGTACTACGGATTAATGTGGTATTTATACTATTCTTTTGTACCTGATCGCGTGCTGATTACGAGTTGCAAATATAATACGTCCAGTTGTGCTTATTTAGATTTACATGCCTTTAGTTACACTATACTATGAATTCTTAGCAAGTCAATTTGAATACTTCTAGTCATCATAATTAAGTATTTTGCAACAGTTAGTGGCATTGGCAAAGTAGCTGTAGGTTACATCTTGTATTAAGTATCCAAAAGCTATTCACCTTAACTCCAATTATCCGGTATGTCTGTCAGTTGGGCATTATTTTCTCCAAGTAATTGGAAACATACAAACCGTCCTACTAACGCCTTGATAGTATAATGTGATGTGACCCCTACTGCGGATGACAGGCAGACGACTACTTCACCTAACGAGCATCACAGACCTGGTCCCATATAAATGTCGACATGAAAATGTAATGAAATATGAGTGTGTGAAATGGACGTTGACGATAATGACTTTGAATGTCTGGTGTGACTGCGTGTTTGCAATCGAATATCACAGCAGTAAACAATTTACCGACACACGACTAACGGGACGTCTTACCACTTGGATTAGCTATAAACATGTCTGTTGAAATGTTGCATGCATCTATTTCGATAGTGGCTTGCCGGTTCCAAGTTTAGTTAGTAGTACATGGAACATCAATAAGAGAAAAGCTGTATTTCAGCTGAATACCCCGCTGTATGAGGCATAAGTATATATTGGCAGATGGGGGATATTGGTGATACATGAATTGTAGATCATGTACAAATAACTCGGATTTATCTAACCCACACAATGAATCAATTGTCAATGTTATGTCGTGTGGGAAGTGGTGGAAAATATAAGCAGACCGAATTTCCAGCTGTTCAGGAAGTGAATAACGTCCTGTAGGTCTGAGCTGTTAACAATTGATTAGTCACGTAGAAGTGCCGATTGTTATGTTTGTCCTAGTCCTTAGCACTGATCGAATTCGTGTGATCGACTTATAGACCAGATCGTTTGCAGAAATAACTGTCTACATATCACAGTGGCAAACGAAACACTACATTACACTTGACACGAGATGATTCGATCACTGGAAGGTAACCTGAGGATCTCTAAACTAAATTCCCAAAATGTCGAGTGCTATGAAAATGATGATAGTTCGAACGAAACTGAAAAATTAGGCAATCTTTCTATCAACCGAGATTATCTACCGTAAACTGAGTAAAAATAATGAAAGACGGGTATACGAATGTAGAGTTAGTTTGTGCATGATTTGTTTGTGAATGTGAACAATTCGTAAGAAAGACTAGGGTTGAGAGATTTGCGTATGACAACTATATTACTTATGAGTAACTAGAAGTGAGTTGCACAATTCTCTTCGTTTATTTCATTAATTAATTGTTAACTAATCAGTTATTGATTGCTTAATGTATTACCCACTCGTCCGACTACATTGATTGGTCAGTTTTCTATTTGTCTGCACTGAAACTTTGCAGTTCTTGCTGAGTTAAAAACCACGAAGGATTTTTTTGCAGAACAATATGTTTAAGGAGAAGCCATGACAGTTTGTGACCTACCAACTCCGGATGCTTAACTTCGGTGGACTTGAAAAAGTATTTAACAGAAATTCCTAACTTTAGAATGCTATTATTATTATTACTGTTATTAACACACACAAAAAAGCATCTCTTATCCGATATACAATTAAATTACACTTGAACGTACTTGATGTTGTAAATTTGTGGGATCCCTAGCAGCCACTGGAGCAGCACTACCATATACATGTAATTCACGTACAATAGAACAACAAAGATCTTCATTACCTTGAAAATCATTATCATCATCACTAATATAACGTGTTGCGGTGAACACTTTCTTAAACGTTATAAACCTATCAATGTGTCTTGATACAGATCCTCATAGGCTAAAAATGTCTCTCAACCACCATTTGCAACATAATCTCTATAAACAAGTTCAACCTGTATCGAATGAATAGAAGTACGTTTAGAAGGAAAAAGAGCAGAAGAAGAACAAGAACATGAAGGAACACGTCGAAGATGAACAGAGCTAAACAACAAACAAACAACTCAAGACGTTCATTGGAATAGGCTAAAGGAATATACTCATTTAGTCATAAAATAAGAAAGATTGGTTCAGTCAACAGTGCTCTGTTCGTACAGTTGATTTCCAAAGCTATAAAACTATATATATATATATATCAACTCATATCGCACACAAAAACCAGCAACAAAACAAATACAATCACTAGCACAACCACCATTGCACACTGACGCCAACTGCAATACCACTTTTTCACCACCAACAACAACATCATTCACAACAACCGGAATACCCACATCACCTAATACTCATACACATACACGTACACAAGGAATGACTTACTCCTTCAGTAAACCTCAAACTCGAAAAGTATATCATCATAATATGTTGCTGAAAATTTCCCTCTCAAATTTTTTTACTGCAAAGATTTGTTACGCCGATTTCTTAACTTATTTGATAGGCAAGTGGTATTTGTTTAAATAAAACCACTTTTATCCACTTCTCTGTAAGCCTAATCTTCTTAACCAGTGTGTAATAAGCGGAAGGAAAGGAGAATCGTGGTATTTGAAATGAGGCTAGGTATTATCGCTCTCTAGTTACACAATCCTCGTATATTGTCGGTACAATCCAGTCAGCAGTCCTGAGGTTATGTACAGAGTACTGAAGAAATATAGTAAAGCGGCTGATATGATTATTAATCTTCATCAAGTGATGTGCTCGAGACATGTGTTATATATGTCTAATTACCATCTACGTCAATATGCGGTGTTAGCAGGTAATAATAAGAAATAATAATGATAATATCAATAATACCAATTAACTAACGAATAATGTTAAGAAAAAGAAAAGTGATATTTATTTCTTAGCAAATGTAATTTGCATAGCATGAGTCGGTGTCAGTTTAAATCCTTCATAAGCAGATCGCGCAGCAGCAGCTTGTGATTCAGTATCATATTCGACAAAGCCAACTCCACCAGCAGCGCGTCTAGCCTCTTTAAATCCCGAGAATTGACTAAATAACATTGTAAGCATAGCATCAGTAGTTTCTTCTGGTAAATTGCTAACAAATAAAATATGATTTGGTTGATCTAACAATGCATTGATATCTCCACCGGTACCCGCCTAAAAGAGATTTGACAAAAGTGATGGAGTGTATTTTAAAATATTTATTGGGGAAAAAATTAAAACGGTTTTTTTAGAACACGTGAATTAGTACTATGGTCCAAGTCATCAACACATCATACATCTAATCAAGTAAGAAAGCGCGGAGTGTTAGTTCTCGTAAGATGCTAACGTATAGTCACATGATTATAGGTTCTGCCAGGAAGGTCCTATTAACTGCGTCCTTGTGGCGCAGGTATTTTCTACAAAATTGGGAGGAAGGAAAGTGGCTCTTAAATCAACCGGGCTAGTGAATACGGAAGGCTCAACCAAGGAAGTTGAACGATTATGTGCAAGTGCTCCAGGAATGGGGTGTATGAACTCATTTTGGTTACCGCCTACCATGAAAACGTATCACATGATGTTGTGCCACTGTTTTGTGGAGTAAATTCAGGGTTAAAGGCCCGAGGAATGGGGCCCTAAGAAAATTACCTGCTTCTCATAACATGGATTATTAGATTATGCTTTATATTTGCATTATAGCACGTAGAGTGTTAAGCTGTTAATCAATAAATAGACATTTTATCAGTGTATGTATGAGCTTACCTACATTTTTAGTTATGCTAATGACACTGTAGCAGACCCATACTATGCATGCTTACGTAGATACCTATCGTTATCTGAAAAGGTAAAAAGCCTTTGACTAACTTAAGCAATAATGAAAGCATGTTTTCAGTACGATTTTCTCCAATTAAATGCGAAATGCTGCTTCAGGATTGCTGTGCCTCAGTACTTGGAATGATAGTGAGTGAAGTGGAGAGGCACGTCGATAACTTCACTCACCTTGGAAGTCTCATCAAACCTGGTGCTTTGATGTCTGACGAAATCTCGGGATAAAATTAGAAAACTTAGCTGGTTTATGACAACTACCAGCTGTCAAAATTTTGCTGGTGAATTCGCTCTTCGTCCCTGTTTAAAACCTCAGTCCCAAAATATTCTTATACCTTCCGTTTAGTTTTTTCTATACCTAATTTCTACTACTACTACTACTGTAGTAGACAAAAACTCAGGTGGAGAAGATCAATTTATTGTTTAATGCAAAATTACCGAGTTTACTCGTAAGATATGAAAACCATACATCAAATACGTAATTTGCACATCTTCCAACAGTTGTCCTTTACATCCTTCTTGATTCTTTTAGTTCCGTTGTCATTACGATTACTTTCTGTTTTCGTTAATTGAATCTTCCCAATCTTCTGCAGAAATGCATTTCACTTACGATCGGTGCTACATACTGCTTATATATGTCAACATAAGTAGCATCTACCACACTACTACTGATACTGTTACTGCTCCGCTGCTCTGGGATGTCTTTAAATAATTCTATCTCGCTGTCCTAATTTGGTGTGGCAACTTCAACCAAAGCAAATGTGTTAGGTTCTAATTTGCGTATGACTGGTTGACTGATATGAACTGAGTGTAGCTCATTAGAGGTCTCATGCTAGCATTTCGAGTTGTGAGTGTCAAATTGTCTTGCTCACACGCTGTTATTGGTCATTATCGACTGGTTTCATCATTAAATGTAAGTGAACTGTATATGCTTACTGAGTTGTCAGTTCACTTTTCCTCTTATTCGTCCCTTTTCCAGCTTTCTTCAAGCACGCTGCTCTCTGTGCCCCCCCCCCATAACACAGAGTACCTTCAGGCTGGACGTGAATCAGTACACTGACTCAATGATCTATCCCTCAAGTCAATCAGCATACAGAATGATTTGATTGTAAAGTCAATTCAATCAATACCATGATTAGTCAGTATACCATTCTACACGCTTTCTACAATCTCTGTACATTACCCCAATAATTTGTCAAAACAATTTGTATGAAATATACATATTTCCTAAAACGTATTTCATATTAGACATTTAACATCAAGTTATCTCTGAAATCGCTACGCAACGTCATTATAAGTAATATATTTGAAATTGACTTGGAATTATAATAGATGAAGTCGGATGCATTTCCAATACAACTTAAATATTATAATTCTGAATACAATCAAGACAAAAAAACATAACTGTGTATTTCACTGATATACACAATATGATAGGAAAAAATTGTAGCTCAGTTAAACATATATGGTGATGATAAGTAAACTGGGCGATATGATTTATTTATGAATCTTTCACTATCCTTCAGTCAGTCAGTCAGCTACAACGTAGGATCAGGCACATATATGCATCAGTCCAAGTTACCATACCTCATTAATACAACAAGATGAACACCGGATTCACAAAAGTAGTTAATTCAGAGGTGGTGATATACAAAAGAAAGATTGCATATAAGGATATAGCACAGGAAGAAAGAATTACTTCATAGAAAGAAAAATATGAAGCGATTTTAATCTCTTAGTTTAAGGGAAGACAGAGAGTGTATACACCGACGCCAATGTGGTCGATTCTAAGCCATGTCACTAAGAGTCTCCAACCATTGGTTACGATAGTCACGCAGACCGCAATCAAGTAGTCTACATCTACCAACATGGTTAGACCAGAAGTTTGTGACTTCAAGCACTGGTGTCACGTTTTAGTTTGGCCACCCCTAACTTTATTCCAACCATCCCCAACACTAGTCAGAATTGAACGTCGTTGTAATTGGTGTTCAGGCATACGTAACACGTGACCAAACCATCTCAGTCGATGAAGATTTACAACCTCATCAACTGATTTACCGTCATTCCCTAATACCCTGCGTCTAACCTTACTATTACTTACCCGGTGATCCTTCTGAATAAGTGGACTCTTTAGTTATTTCATTTGAAAGAAAATGTCAGATGACAAACAATCTGACCAGAAACCAATCAAACAAAACAGTCAACTTGAATAGAAGAACAAATGAAGACAATGAAATATGAGAGGTTAGATTAATCATAAACAACAGTAACACAAAAATAATTGATTTAGCACTTATGGAATCACTCTAAATAGTTCACTTCTATACATGAATAGAATGTTGATGATGTAATGTCCAGAATAAAGTCTTTGCAGTTAATTAAACTAAGTACTAGCTTAGAGGATTTTACAACTATACTATACTATGAATATATATGATATTGAACTGGTCAAATCGTTTTTATGATCAAATAAAGAAAACAATAATAATGATTAAAACATACTGGACCATTTACTGATTGATTAGCTGCTTGTAAAGCCGCTGCTACCGCTGCAGCACGTTGTGCCATTTTCTTTCGTCTACGTTTTTCGCGTTCTTCTTCACGTCTCTTTTGAACTTCAGCACTGACACCTTTCAAACAGATAATTTGTTGCGAGTCTTTTTTAGCATACGTTACTCGCATAGGCTGAGAAAAAAATATATATGAATATAACAGAATAAAACATTAAAGGAAGTGAAATTTTTGTAAGCAGAGATGAACGGTTGTTAATGGTAGATTCAAGTAATGGAGTGAACATCAACACTGGGATGTAAGTACATCAAGCTGATGATTCACAAATAGAATGAGACGTGTGTCTTGAATTCTACTACTCCTACGACTATCTATTATCTGTATATGATTAAAAGAGCTTATGAATGACAGCAATATCAAGACAATCCCCTAAGGATGCACATATTTTAAAAGAGACTGATCAATTCCAGTCCATAACAGAAACAATCGGATGACATAAATCATTACAATTGAATTATTAAGTAACGATTGCGTATTCCAAAAGGCAGATATTAACTTTATGATATGTAACAAAAAGAGAAGTAATAACTCTAGTAGCACTGAGCAACAATGATAGGATATTTGGGATGTGTTTCTTCCACACTAAGTGAAAATTGTTGCTTCAGGGCTGGCTTGCGTCAACACCTGAACTAAAGATAGGGAGTGAGTAGTCGAACGTGTTGACAACTTCACTTACCTTGGAAGTCTGATCAGCCCTAATGGGTTGATGTCTGACAAAATCTCAGCACGGATTCGAAAAGCTCGTTTGGATTTTGTCAACTTATGTCACCTATGGCAAAGGCCAGATATCCGTCTATCAATTAAGGGACGAGTATATTGCACAGCAGTTCGTTCTGTTCTACTTTACGGCTACGAAACATGGCCATTAAGAGTAGAAGACACTCGTAAGTTACTAGTATTTGACCACAGATGCCTTAAAAATATTGCTCGCATCTGCTGCGATCACCGGGTAAGTAACAGTAAGGTTAGACGCAGGGTATTAGGGAATGACGGTAAATCAGTTGATGAGGTTGTAAATCTTCATCGACTGAGATGGTTGGGTCACGTGTTACGTATGCCTGAACACCAATTACAACGACGTTCAATTCTGACTAGTGTTGGGGATGGTTGGAATAAAGTTAGGGGTGGCCAAACTAAAACGTGACACCAGTGCTTGAAGTCACAAACTTCTGGTCTAACCATGTTGGTAGATGTAGACTACTTGATTGCGGTCTGCGTGACTATCGTAACCAATGGTTGGAGACTCTTAGTGACATGGCTTAGAATCGACCACATTGGCGTCGGTGTATACACTCTTTGTCTTCTCTCAAACCGTGAGATTAAAATTACTTCATACATTTCTTTCTACGAACTAATCCTTCCTTCCTGTATTATACCCTTACACATAATCTTTCTTTTATATATTACTACCAGTGAAAGTCTTAATATCGACTTCTGTTGTCTATCCGATACCTGTATTCAAGACTCCAGTGAAATACTACAAATCCGCTCCCTATTTGTCACTTCGAAAAGCTTCTATTATGTGCGCTTATCCGGGGACCCTGTGGCATCTTCTTTTGGTTTTGCTGTCGTCGGTGTTGTACTAAGCGCTAGAGCTGAAGCAGCACTAATCGATTGGATCCCCATTAACAGTCGATTATATGCTGTTAGATTATTATTATATTTATTTTATTTGAATACATAAATATTGGTACAAGGGGGCACCAGATATATATGCGCCACACAGTGGTTTCAGAAAAACTGTTTCAGTATTCGTATTCGGTGGTAGTATTCAATTTTCGGCCAGTCAGTGACTCGAGATCGTTTAGATAGAAACGAATTTCCACCAAAAGCGAGCTGCTGTATAAGTTGTAAAATAAGGATACACAAAGTAGGAATAAAAGAGAGTGAATAAGTGACGTGGTAATAATAAAAATATTGTGAATTGTTTGACTTTCAATCGAAGCGTGAATAGTTGAAAAATAAGGATACACAAAGTAGAAATAAATGAGAGTGAATAAGTGACGTTTTAATAGTAATAATAATAATAATAATAATAATAATAATAATAATAATAATAAGAAGAAGAAGAAGAAGAAGAAGAAGAAGAAGAAGAATATTATTGTGAACTGTTCGACTTTCAATCGAAGCGTGAATAGTATTTTCAGTAATATCGTCATTTCATTTCATTTGTGTTAGATTAGAAAATTCCATCAAAGTAATGAGAAATCGGTGTGAAAAACGACGTCTTTTCGTCGTCTCCGCCTATGCCCGACAGATTGCAGCCCAGATGCAATCAAGGATGAATTTTACCACCAGTTAACTGTGCTTCTCCACGAAGTGCGTTCGACAGATATTGTAGTGCTAGCCGGAGACTTGAATGCTCAGGTCGGGCGTCTAGACACAGAAGAGAGTCGTTTAGGTGGCTGATGGGGACTTGTTGATCGCAGGACAGATAACAGGGACTGTCTACTGCAACTGTGCGCAGACCACAACCTGTTTCTGGCTAGCACTAACTACCGGCATAGTCATCGCCAACGTGCCACTGAGCGCCCTTCCTCTGCATCTCAAACCTGGACTCAGATTGAGCACATCGCGACCAGCTACTGCTGGCGTGGTTGTGTACAAAACTGCTGCTCCTTTTGGAGTACCTATCTGGACTCTGATCATACTCTTGTTTGCTCCAATCTTACCTTAATTTTCAGTGGACAACAAATCCATCATCCTAAACGAATCGTTGTCGGTAAATTGGTTGCAGCTTCAGTTGCATGACGCCATAAAAGTGGCGTCATGAAGTCTGGTGTGAGCCAAAAAATCTGTGAGGATGACGAGATGCCAATCACTAACATCCATCGATGTCTTGGACGAGGGGCAGAATTCTTCGAAGGGCAGTTCAACTGGCCTGCTGCTCCGGCAACATCGGTCAAACTGTCCTGCCCTCTATGGCCGGTGACGACTGATCCACTAAATGAGGCGGAAGTCCACAAGGAACTCCAACTCTTGAGGCGTTACAAATCACCGGGCCCAGATGACTTACCTCCGGCTCTTTTTAAAGATGGTGGTGACTTTCTGGCTAAAGAACTGAGGACTTTGTTTACAAAAGTCTGGGAACTAGAGAGTGTACCAACGTCATGGAATGAGTCGATAGTTGTCCCTATCTTTAAAAAGGGTTCACGTCGTTCCTGTAACAACTATTGGGGGATAAGTCTACTTCCGATTGCGTCCAAGCTATTGGCTTCCGTCATACTTCGTAGGTCGTTTAAACCCGAAGAAGATTGACTCGCGAGGAGCAGGTTGGGTTTCGCTCTGGTCGAGGATGTAATGATCATATCTTCACCCTCCGCCAAATGTTAGAACACCGTCATACTTATCAAAGGCCAACAATCGTAGTGTTTCTTGACATCAGGGCTGCCTTCGATTCGTTGGACAGGACTGTTCTCTGGGATTGTCTATTGAAGAAGGGTGTGCCTGAGAAGTTTATTAACATCCTAAAAGCCCTACATACAAACACCTCAGGCAGAGTGAGGGCATACAACCACCTCTCTCCATTGTTCCATTCGAGTAGTGGAGTTAGGCAGGGTTGCCCAATCTCACCATTCCTCTTCAACTTTGCCATCGATGACATTCTGGAAACAGCTCTGATGGATGTAAGTAATGGTGGTATTGACCTGTTGCCTGGAGAAAGACTTCTCGACCTTGAGTATGCGGATGATATTGTCTTACTGTGCGATAATGCCCAAGCCATGCAATCCGCACTTAATCAGTGTCCGTATGTATGGTATGTGCTTTACACTTTCGAAGTGCAAAGTACTTCTACAAGACTGGCAGGATTCTAATCCTGTACTTACTCTGGATGGTGAGCAGATAGAAGTATTCGAGAAGTTCGTGTATCTAGGTAGCTGCATAAGTGCTGGTGGTGATGTGAGTGATGAGATCAATGCACGTATAGTGAAAGCCAGAGCGGATTATGCCAATCTGGGCCATCTTTGGCGCCTACGTGATGTCAGTCTGGCTGTAAAAGGTCGGGTCTACAACGCGTCGGTGGGAGCAGTTTCGCTCTATGCTTGTGAAACCTGGCCTCTCCGAGTTGAGGATGTTAGACAACTCTCTGTGTTCGATCGTCGTTGTCTCCGAAGGATTGCTGACATCCAGTGGCAACACCATGTTAGCAATGCAGAGGTTCGGCATCGTGTGTTCGGGCACAGAGACGATAATGCAATTGGTGTCACCATCTTGAAACACCGACTTCGGTGGCTTGGACATGTTCTACGGATGTCGTCCCAGAGAATCCCAAGTCGTGCATTATTTGCCGACTCTGGGACTGGTTGGAAAAAGCGGAGAGGTGGTCAGTGCATGACATGGTATCATAATGTGAAGGATAACAGTACAGGACTGGCTTCCTTTGGTCCTTAACGACTTCTTGGCTGGGGTCCGAGAGATGGTGCAACACAGTGGCTAGAGACGTTATCACATATGGCTCAGAATAGGAGCCAGTAGCGATCCTGCAGTAACCTTCCTTTACTTTCTTCATAAAAAGTGGTTGTAATTTCCTTAACTGAAAGAATTTTTTCTGGTTGTAGCTTTGCTAACTGAACTGCTCCTTCTTTACTATTGTTTCCCTATCATACACTAATTTCTGTTCGTTATTGTTTCTTTTTTTCTTATACGCACCTCACATTCTTTATCCCTTCACATTCACATTATTATTGTGTGTCGCATATGTATCTGGTTCCCCTTTGTACCCGTATTTATGTTCAAATAAATAAATAAACGATTGAAGTAACTACTTCTATGAATCTGGTGTTTATCTTGTTATGCTAACGAGGTGTCGCAAATTAGACCGATGCATATATGTGCCTGGTCCTACGTACTAGCTGACTGACTGGAACAGGTGGGCACAACACAAGAAAAGGGGAGTTTTTCTCGAATACCCAACATTATTAAAAGTGATAATCGAAACAGTATACGACATAAAAAAAGAGAGCATGAAGAGGAAGGGTGTGGATTTTATATCATTCATATAATACAATATTATCATGATAAATATGACTGCTCGATTAGCTCCTAAACTTAATGCGTCTAGCATACATATCCACCGTACTTAATGCTCGAGATTACATAGTATACAGAAAGAGTATATGGAAATCATCTAATAAAAAAGTAAAGAAGACAGTTGTGCTATCGTATACACAAAGGGTAGTAGGTTGTATTTCAAAAGTGCTTTATTTGATATATGTTCAGCTCTGTCGTAATCCAAAAAGATACAAACACAACACTTCCTATATTAGATCACAATACGTTACGTGATTGAGCAGCCTAAGAGTGAATAGGAAGCTATAACTAGAAACGTAATAATAATGTACACAAATTATTGATATATATAGCCCTTCAGGGATAATACCCAAGACCTTGGAAAAGGGCACAATTAGTTAAGTTCGATATAATGACTTGTTCGTTATCTATCACTTAGCACTTGGCTTTATTACATCATTTGCGCACAGGACCATCATATACCTGGACTCAACCAACCTGTTATTATTATTGTTTAGTTCGTAAGATGATCTTCGAAAAATAATGAACGGAAGATACCAACTGGCCTTTTCAAGTGCATATGAAGCCTCACAATATCTAACACGATTGAAACTTAACAACCCCATGTACAAAACTTCATGTTATTAGTATTGTTTTATGACTTTTGAGTCATGCTTTTTGACAATATTACTTATAAGTAACTGTTAACCTATTGCAAAGTTTTCTAGTCTATATTTTTTGGAACGTCTAAAATATCCACTTTCTTAATTGATTGATGTAATTATGATCCATTTAGCCATATTGAACTGGTTGTTTTATCTCAATGCATGTGTTTAACAAAGTATGTTTGTTCCTGGTGCATTCACCAACTTGGGTGAAAATTTGTAACCTAGACTAGCTGTTACTTGATGTGTAACTACATGGAAATAATTAATTATTGAGATGGATTTAGTAGTGGGGAAATCTTTCAAAGTACAGAAAGTGATGTTTAAATTTTCAAATTTATCGCTTAAATTTGCTTAGTAGACAAGGGATAAGATTTCCAGTCAATGGTTATAAACTTGAACATCGCGTAGATATGTAGTAGTAGCAGTAGTGGTCTCATTAGCTCTCAAACAAAATATGTGACTCGAAATCTAATACATGAACCACAAGTTGGTTACTGAGTAATGTAAGACTTAATTTTACTAAGTAGTGTTGGTAAAAAACCGTAAATTTCCATTGTTGATATTCAAGCATGCCAAATGACACATACTGAATCCTGTGATAAAGCTATATCGCGGCAACCCGCTAAGAATGCACACGTATCAGAGAAAGATCAATTGCAGCCCTGAGCATCAACAACAGGAAATCACATACATCTACTGACACATTTATACCTGCTGAATAGTTGAGTGGATCACTGTACTTAATAGCTCAATGGATAACATGATGATTACTCGAAGAGAAAAGTACAAAGTTTGAGTCAGTGTGAACATCAACACTGGAATCCAAATACACCCAGCTGACGATCTGCAGATAGGACAAAATGCGTGTCTTAACCTTTACTGATAGCTACATATCCAATATGATCAATTTATAGCTTCAGTTCTTTCACAACATTGCATAAGTATACAAATATATACATGCATTAGGACTAAATAAAATAAACTTACTCGTTGAAATAACTGAAATCCCTGTAATGAACGATAAGCTTGCGTTGCACAAGCAATATCTTGATAAATAATAAATGCTTGTCCACGCATTTTCATTGTTTTCATAGCTATAATATCAATTAGTCGACCATGTTGACCAAATATATAATATAGTGCTTTTTTCAAATCGTTTTTCTTTACTTTGTCATTTAGATTATTCACATACAATGTGTGATTTGGTCGGATATCCATTTATAGAACTAATATTTATCAAATCCGAGCACGCACGCATGCACACACCGTATATATATGGAAATAAAGAAGGGATATAATGAATGAATTGAAATAGTGTTACATGCTGGAAGAAGGTAGGATTTGGTATTATATATATAATCAGTGTGGGGGATTTTTTGATTTTTAAGTTTTAAAGTCTACATCAAGAACTGTCTGAGGATTTTCATGAGAACGAAACAGCTGTCCAGTGTTGCCTAGTTTAGAATAGTTGTCTAAAGTCAGTCAGTGATGTAAACTATGAAGTATCATATGTTACTACTATTACCAGTAGTTTCAGATTAGAAGTGAAACTAGGGTATTATTTATAGGTGTGCTTTTTTATTGGAAGCATCAGTTTGGAAAATGCGCTTTATCTGTCGAAAATGGAAATTCCGTATAGGCCTGCATTTGTATGCTTTGTTGAGATTGCTTTCTTACTATGATCAAAACATATAAAGAACACGCTAATTTCAATCTGTATGCTAGTGGACTGAAAATGTACAAACGGACAACTACTGCGTAGAAATCAGGCTACAATAATATTAATTTCATTGCATAACGTGCACAAATCAAGCTTTAATCCATTCAGACAAATAATCATAAAATAAATAAAGGTCAATTATATATCATTAGTATTAGCTCATAATCCGAGTACAAATTTTTGTCAATGAATTTGAATCACATTTGGAGACGGCTAGCGATATGATTCGACTTTCTAGACCGAAGTGTAGGAGGATTTGAACCCATGGGTGAGTGAATGACTGAAAGTTAAACACTATTACAACTGAGCCACTGCTTCACCATACAAGTTTTAGTTGGAAGAATAAACTTCAGACTAGTTTAAGGTTTCTATGGAGTAATTGTAACAATCAAACTGTACTAATTAAAGACCGAACATGTTTACGCAGCTTAGACTGATTAGTTACTTAGCAGTAATCAATGTCATGTTATCTAGTACTGAGTGTTTAATGAATTTTGACGGCCAGGTTCCAATGTTAATAATTGTCAAAATTAATCGATTTCACAGTGCATTTCACTTTGATATTAGAGGCAACTTGAAAGAAGCACTGTGTTCAAGTTCTAAGACAGTTAACGCTCTTAAGTAAGACGTATCTTCAGTCTTAGGGAGACTGCTGTTCTCTTTATGACTAACTCAGTGTTCTAGATTGTCACATGAAGTTACTCCAAGACGGAAGATGTCCCTCGTTTAAGCGTCAGACAGCATTACTTCGGGGTCCAGTAATTCCTGTAGATTACCTCCATTGACTAAACACCATACACAACTTGAGAAGTCCTGTATGTACAAAAATGTAGATATGGTGGTTTCAAGTAGTTACGTCAGCTGTGAAGTCTGAATGAATATCGTTCACTACTCTATCCATACAATCCAACAAAGTATTGGATGACCATTTTAAGAAATAGATTACGTGGGCAAAGTAGTCAACTGAATGTGATTATAGTAACATTTTAGTTTTTCCAGTGACCTAAGTGCCTTTAAAACCTACACACCACAAAACCAATCCATTTTGCTACTTTGGAATTTTTGATAAATGACAAGTACGAGTAAATATGGGATCCGTTATAACATTTAGACTGGTTTGTAAAGGCAATGAAGTCTGAATGAATATCGTTCACTACTCTATCCATACAATCCAACAAAGTATTGGATGACCATTTTAAGAAATAGATTACGTGGGCAAAGTAGTCAACTGAATGTGATTATAGTAACATTTTAGTTTTTCCAGTGACCTAAGTGCCTTTAAAACCTACACACCACAAAACCAATCCATTTTGCTACTTTGGAATTTTTGATAAATGACAAGTACGAGTAAATATGGGATCCGTTATAACATTTAGACTGGTTTGTAAAGGCAATGAAAATTAATGACAAAATATTTTAGTTATCTAGTGTTTAGTACATTTAAACTAATGTTATACACAAGGGTTCGTTCAATATAATCTATTCATACGGAACAAATCAAAAGCCAAAGTCTATACAAATACAATTAATTAAACAGGAAAAACAACAATAAGCGTCATCATTTTTTCAGCAATCAGATAATATCAATTATTGGTATGAGAAAGAAAACTCATTAAGACCAAATAGAATTTTAATTTTATTGAAAATTGTAAACATGTACACGTATGAAGTAATAAGATTGAAGAAATTCAGTTAAAATGAATGAACTAATTTTTTTTCAAAATCCTTTTATTTCTTCGCAAAAGTAATACGTATAGCTTGACCGGGTCGAATATTAAAACCTTGAAGGCCAAGTTTTGCAGCTGATGCCTCTACTTCATTACCAAATTCAACAAAAGCAATATCATGTCTTCCTGGAACCATACGAACTTCTCGATAGCCAGTGAATTGTCCAAAAAGCATACTTAACATTGCTTCGTCAGAATCATCCGGTAAGTTAGTTAAAAATAAAATCTTATTAGGTGGTTGATCTGGAATAGTTGCTGGATTCACAGTCGGTGGTGGTGGAGGAGGACGATAACTATTAGTTTGATCGACACCATTAGAATTTGTTTCACCGATGGTATCATTGTTAGCTGAGGCCGAAGCTGCAGCGGCAGCGGCAGCAGCGGCTGCTGCAGCTCTTTGTTGTCTTCTACGGATAGCTCTAGCACTAGTGCCTCCTTGTGGACCGGCTGAATTAATTGCAGCAGCAGAAGCTGCGGCTTCGGCAGCAGCAGCAGCAGCGGCCGCAGCTGCTGCTCTTGATGCAGCTTTTGGTCGTTGTACAAATGTGCCTTTACGTTTAGCAATGACATCTGAATCAACTTTGGCAAAATGTATTCGCATGGGTTTTTCATACAGTGGAAAGCTTTGCATTGCCCGAAGTGCCGTGGACGCACTATTGATATCATCAAAGACAACAAAAGCTTGACCACGCATTTTAAGTGTTCGTGCTACGAAAGGAACAATAAAATTATGACAACTTAGAATTAATCTGAACAGTAGTAAGGATTAGTGAAAATGTAGGTCGCGATAACATGCTTCATCTGTCATACAACGCTTCTGTAATTCAACAATAAGTGTGTACAAAACGACACCGAGTATAATTATTCACAGAAACATGTAGAATAGCGTATAGGCTTGAATAGTAACATGCAATATTAAGCTCGTACTATGTTAGAAAAACTTCGCAATTAGAATGAACATGATGCGATATTTAGGAGAAAATCAAAAGGTTTTGTTGAGTATTTACAACAAGATAGGGAATAAAATAATTTGTTACGATTGTTATTAATGGGCTATTATTAAGTGATATTATGATTGGATACACCAACAGTGTTCCTGGTCAAACTGAGACTATGTAATATATAATGCAAATCATATTTCCAATGTCCGGATTAGAAATATGTTCTAGGTTAAAATTATACTTTTTTTAAGCATCACTTTGGAGGTGAACTCCACATTTTTTGTTACAACGTAAGAAACTGTCGACTGCCCGTAAATGGTGACCAACTCTTAAGTTAGTACACATCCTTGAACACACATCAGAAGTGCTTCTTAACTCATGTGATATGTATTTCTATGGACACAACAAAACCTATAGTCTATCCATGGAGTAAGATCTAGCATACCTCTGAGGAGACTGATGTAATAAGATAAGGAGTAAAGTATTCAGATTATTATACCATAGTATATTCTAAAGACCAAGTACATATCTTGCAGTAAAGGAATATCGCCATATTAAAACTTTTCAATCAACAGCTTCTGATGAATTTAAAACGTTGAAAATATCTATATCAACCAAAATCTGACTAAATGATGCTGGAGTAAAAGTGACTGCAGCTAGTAAGCTATACATGTAAAATGATCGGTAACAACATTGTAAAGTTGTCTTTTAATGGATAACTATATTTTTTACAAACTCAAGGAAGTTTAGAAGCATAAATCATGGAAAGCTGATAGCTGCCTTTTAACGGCTTTGATTCCAACACGTAGTACCTCACTATGGGTGACAAGATAATATTGCAAGCTTCTACACAATAAACGGCAGAAACCCTAACCCGATTAACAAGTTGTGGGGTAAATTTAACACCTAGCACAGTTAGTGACAGATACAACCAAGTCAGGTTTCATTATTAGTGAGCTTATATGTAATCTAAATATTAACCATTACTATCGAAGAATACCTAAATTTTTACCAGACTCCCGTTTTCTGAACATGTGGTTAAATGACGTTAAGTAAAACTATTTACTACACATAAAAAGAAACTAATTAATGTCAACGCACAATCCTTTTTAGATCAATGATCAAGGGATATGGGGTGACAGAAACAACTAACATTCATTACCGCCAGTCTTAAATGCGTAAATTAGTCAGTGGAAGCATTTATGTCTCAAAGACTAGTGAAAAGAAATGACAACACCAAAAATGTGGTGAAATCCTACTCTCAATAAGTTGCGAGTCATAGTGGCCTGTGGCATTAATATTACGCACACTAGAGACTTTCTAAGCTCCATTTAGAATACCTGCTTCGGTTTGGGTACCCGGGCAATATCCCAGCCCTCACACATATCAAATGAGATTTTGTGTGGTGCATATGTATTTGGTGCCTCCTTGTATAAATATCTATGTGTTATAATAAATAAATACTTTCATTTAGAATAGACAAATATTCTCATTGTTGTGTAGCCTTTTTACTATTAACCGTACTAGCTGTGTTGGAGACGTAGCATAGAAGTAATGGCGAGCCCGTATCAGACGAAATGAATAGTTTAAAGACGGGCGGACTTTCCAACTTTTTTGTAGGTATGAAGCGACTTTTGATACATGAGGATCTAGTTCCCGAGCTCCCAAGTTCGAGGACATTTTGGGGAAACTCCTGAAGTCAAATGACCTTCACCAATGTTTGGGGAATTCTGGAGAAATCCCCAAAGTTAAATGGCCCTGACCAAGGTTAAAGGAGAATTTTGGGGTTTTAGTGCAATTTCCCCTAAGTTTACTATAGTACCTTTCCTT